TCCCTATTGACAAGCCTGCCAAAGCTGTACCTCCCTTTCCGTCTCTGTTCTGAGAAATGAAGAAATGGGTTTAATGGAATTCTAAAATGGTAAATTGTTCCTTGGGATGGAAGCCTTTCACTCTGTGTTTGCTAAGAGTAAAGGAAAAGGGGAAAGCAGGGATAATGGAAAGTAGGGGACATGGTGTCAGACCACCAGGCTTACTGCTAATGGGCTAGTGTTGGGGAGACAGAGGAGCAGGGAAGCCTCACTGTGGCTCCTGATCCTTTACCCAGTTCTACCTAGGCTTAGTATTCAATAGTTATTTAATACAATAGTTATTTTAATTACATTTAGAGGAAGGTAGACAAGGCAGAGATTGGCATGTAAGCCACCTTTGACTCATTGTGTCAAATAATTTTGTCAAACCATCTTATACAATTACATGTTCTAAATACTACCAAGACTATTTTTTCCTGCAAATGTGACCTCAAAACTTCAGTCTGTTGCAAACAGTTGGTCAAAAGCAAAATGGTACTTTACAGATTGACCCTCAATGGTGTTTTAATCTTTTATTTATAATTGGGTTTATTGTTGCAAGCTGCTGTTGCACACAGCTATCAAATCCTCAGCAGGCGTAAATCAGTGCTCAAGTTAACCAGAGCTAGGCTGATCACTGCCAGATGAGGATACAGATGTACTTGTAACCCAGGGATAAAATACAAGCTTCTCCATAGTGCTGAGACTCCGAGAGCTAGAACAGGCTGGCTGGTGATTTACTGGTTATCTGAACATGAGAAGAAAATGTATTTCCACCCCAACCCACACTCAGGCAACTAACTGCTGCTTCCACACATCTTTAGGGAAGAGCATTTATGGAAAACAACTCGAAGATATATGTTGTTAGGGTAAAGGAGGGCCCATGGGCTAAGCACAGAAGCCTCTAAAACTGTGTAAACTGTCAAAAGCATGATTACTTCTGGCAAAGGTCATTCTCACGTACAAAGAGGAAAATGCATCCTTTTTCAGGGGAAGATACAAGGGCCTTCTTGTGTAAGCTGTTTCCCAAGACCTTTGCTTTCTGAGCCTCACCAGAAAGGGAGGGAGGTCAGGGTTGTGACAGGGCGGGGAACAGAATCAGAGAAATTGTAATTTATCTTGAGGTACCGATTTACTTTCTAATTAAAAATTCTTCTTAATAGAAAAATCTCACAGAAACAGGAAGGAGCTGCAGGAATGGAGCTTTACTGAGCAGGTGTGGGTGGCGGAGCCTTCTTTTATTACTAATCAGCATAGTTATACCATTTATAGAAAAGGACATGAGGCTGTGCAAGGAAATCCTAAAGAAGAAAAATACAGCCCTGCTTTGAAAAGCAAGCGAGCTACATAAGGTGGACCATAAGAAAAGCCTCGTGATAGTGTGTCTGCCCCCCCTTGGTGAAAGCAGGAGGTGAAAGTAGATTTACACGGTCCTCCCAAGGTGTTCTCAGATTCTGTTAGGAAGGGCGAGAAAGCCTGTGGAGAGTGAGCAGGACAGTCAGGTAATCTGGATTTCACAGACTACAGCAGCAGCTGGCATTTGACCATGGTGTGGGACAGGTACTGCTCAGAGAAGCTGTGAATAAGGAGCAGGCTGCAGACTCCTGTCCCCTGAATTCTGAAGTGATACACATATAGAGCTTGATGGGACGAGTGGAGCATGTGGTCGTCACTGTCAGGAAATCACTAAATGAGAAGTAACCACTTTTCTATCCGATGGAAACTGTTCTATAAACGATCTGTAAGCACTGCTAGGGCATAAGCTGCACGGCTCTGAGGCAGCTTCATTCCCATTGCTCCCTTTCACTCATGAGGTTAAAGTCAGACACAGCAAACAGAGCCACACCATGTATAAGGTGAGTTTCAAATGCAGGAATGACACTTCCATGTCCAGATGCCGAGTCCAGAGTCTGAGACTATAGGCTCCAGCTCCACTATTTCAGCTAATGATGATATTTTAGCTGCAGATGATAGAGTCATAGATACACACGGAATGTAGTAACTGTATGTAACAAACAAATGTAAGGCAGTAACTGAGTATAAAAGGTTTTCTAGTTTTCAATCTGTGGTTTGCAGGAAGAACAAGTGATTCATTTTTTTTATTGGCTCTCTTACCATTTTAAGATCAAAGTGCATTAGGTCTTAGGAAATAAACAAAAAAAATCTCTCAGAACTAAATAAATTAGGAAAGCTTGCACTTACAAAATATGTTTCTTTAAAAGGTTGCCAGGCAGTGACACTTTCCCTAAGTCTTTGGCCTCGGTGGAATAATCAGAAGCAGTGGTACAGTGCTTTTCAGTTGCAGTAATGGCAGGCAGGCAGAAGGTGCACCCTGCTCTGGACCATGCCCGGCGATCTTCATTTCCTGACAACGGCACAGACCGGCCTCTGCGTCTGCATGCACGATTCCACTTCTCGTATTTCTTCTCTTCATAAAAATGCATCTGTAATGCCCGTCCCACACGTATGTTTTATGTAAAACACGGTTAATATGGAAAAGTGCTATTTGCATCCGAAGATAGTAGAGTCTTTTCTGATTAGGAGGCAGGTTTCTTGCAGTTCTGTAAGAAACATATTTTCTTTTCCATCCAGTTATAATGATCATGTGAGACGTGACAAGGAAACAGGAGCGCAGGACCAAAAGCCATCTGTTTCTTTTTTGGTATTTCATATTGCGTGGAGCAAGAAGGTGACAAAGCTTATATGCTTAAACATGGGGGTATAAAATATGATAGTAACATTTAACATGCTGCGAAGAAATGTCTGTGAACCAAAAACAGACATCTTTTTTGTCTTTACCAGGAGCTCTTACCACAGCTATAGTAAAACTGGCTGCTGCTTGTGTTTGTGAAAACTTTGCTTTCAAGATATTTTACATATTTAGTTTAGATGGTGCAGTGGGTGGAAAGCCAGCTTCCATTCCTGAAAATAAGTAGTTTCATCTTCAAAATTCCAATACTCCTTTTTAAAAATTATTGTTATTCCATATTGTGCCATTCCTGAGACCGATTTTGTACGTAAAACTTGGTTTCATTTTCAAAACTGATTTTTATCTCTAATTCTGGAGGTAGAGTAGAATGCAAATGTTGAATAAATTTCATTGATATTTAACTTTATGAAATGTAGCCTTTCGCATGCACAGTTAGACTTTTGGCATTCTCAGGTATGTCCATACCATAGCTGAGCAGTGCTTTACCCCACGGTTTATTTCAGCCAACAGTATTTTGTCCTTTTTATTTCTGCTTGCCATATGACCTTCTACTGTATTTACCCAAAGTGGGGATTTCCACCCTGCAGAATGCATAATGGGAGTTTAGTCAGTAATAAGCTCCAGTGGTAGATTTCAAAAGCCGTGCACCGGTCTTAGATTTGAAAGCAACACACTGAAATAAAAGGGGTTTATGCACATCTTCTGCTAGCATTAACACACGCCGTAAATATACCTGGAACTGAGAAAGGAAAGGGACATAATTGCCCTCTCTTTCATCTCAGGACTGAAGTGCCTTTCCAATCAAGGAGATTTCCACTGCTTGCTAAAGACTATTCAGATGAGAAGAATACGTTTGGGCTATTTGGGTTAGTTAGCGCGCACTTCCCTTTTTTCTGCATTAACAGAATAGACCTCTTTGTAAGATCACTCAATTTTTTAGACCTTTGTAAAAGTTTAGGTCAGTCTTGGAATCCTGTGCTTTTGTTGCCCTGTCACCAGTTGGATCACGTTCATAGAGAGTCTATTTTTTCCCTTAACTACTTGCATAGCCCCTTTTCTCTTTTGTGGTGCAAGCCAGAATTCCTGGAAACAGGTTTTACTGCCTGCGGGATCTCGAAGGCCGCCTTCTCCACGGACATTTCCCTCTTCAACTGGCTGAATGCCACACCGCGATTTATAATTTATTCAGTGGATCCATTACTGAGTCTCTGTGTATGTTTTTTGTCTAGACTAAGGAAGGGCAAGAAGTTGTTCCACCTAAATCTTCTTGGGAGCTGTCAGAGAGAGGCATCCTCTCACAGATACGAGAAGTAGTGACTGCTGGCTTTAACACAATTGCACAAGAGTTTAAAGATATTGACTCTTCAAAAGATAATACAGTATCAAAAAAGGAGTTCTGGGATATATGTAACCGACATGTTCAGCAGCTGACTGAAGAACAAGTAAGAAAACTATATTATTTTGTCTTGTTAATTTAAGCGTACAACTGGGTAAATTGGCTATGGCTAGAGACATGTGTTTGCATACTGCTGTGTATAGGCAAGTAGTTTACAAATTTGGATGAAATTAAAGTGTCTTAAGACTATCATTCCATGAACATTTGTTGCTACATTTGTGGGAGATTATTTTTTCCCTTATCTCTGAGTATGGTTATGAACTATAATAATCACAGGCTTTCTAAAGCAAAGTCATGGAGACGCTATTGCTAATAGCGAAGGTGTGAATTTAGAGCACAGTGATTCTCTTTCACTAGCTCTTTATCTGTATATTTGCTATTTTAAAAGTTTCTTTTTTCATTTTTAAATTAATCCACTTCCAGTTGACAGGGAAAAAAGCCTCCTCAGCATGGAATAAAAAGTATTTCTATGGGAAGCTAATGCAAATTCCTTTTTCTCAGTAGCTATTTTGTCCTGCCCGCCTTGGACAAAGAAAGGGGCAGCCATTTGACATTTCCCAGCCACCTCTCAGCTATTTTTCTGGGTTAAAGATTCCACCAGATTAGCGTTAGAAGAGTTTATGTAACCTTGAATTTAGCTTGAGTGACTGAAGTCATGGTATGAATCTGGCAGTACAAACTATCTGATAAGCCCGGTTGCTAATCTCGGGGGAACGTGAGAGGCCAGTCTTTCAGAAGATTCTGAAATTAAAATGAAAAGGGCCATTTTTAAATCTTTGTTAATGCTGGTTCACTCTGATTTTTTTCCTAGTCCAAAGACTAGGTGAATAATAAAACAGAGGGAACCTTGACTAAAAGATTTCAGATTTTACATTACAGGACTCTAACCTTCACGCTTGTGATTGCATCAATGCCATTTGGCAGCAAATTGAAAGACAAGACACAGAGCCTCCAAATTCGTACGCATGTCTGCACTACAGAAAATTATTTCGGTACTTTGCTCATTGCGGATATACCCTCTGAGTTCTTGGCCCAACATTTTTGACTATAAATTGAAGAGAGGAGCAGGGCCTGCTTGTAGTTACACCAAATGGATTGTACCGTCTGCCATGTTATCAGACAGTCTAAAGCTGCAGATGAAAGCACTGGAAAAAATAAAAATATTTTCCACTTCCCCCTTGAATACAGCAGAAAAAAACAAAATGGCCTGTGTGTTCTATTCCTAGTAGCCATGATTCTGGTGAGGTACCAAGTGCAAGTGCCAGATCTGAACCTGGACCCTCAACACCAGGTGACAGTAAAAGTGAAAACATGGTAATACTCTTTCTGCATCCCTGTGAACCTCTGACTAGAAGCAGCAGGGTGAGCTCGTGGCTGAGCCCTGGCTGAGGTGGGAGAACACACACCTTCCTCAGCTGTGAAAAATCTCGGGGCTTTATTTTTTCTTTTTTGGATGCAGTAAGGCAGGCATCTCCAGCTGAAGAGTCCTCCAGACTAGCTCCTGTCTACTTTACACTCAAGAAGAAGCGAAGGGACACGGGAGCTATTTTATACTTAAAAGAACATCAGACAAGTGAAGAAAAAAAAAAAATCTTGATAGAAACTGTCATCCATAATAGCAACGAGAAGCAGGCCTGAGGAGCCTCATTTATATAAGCAGCAGCCTCTGTGTGAGTGAGACTCAAGCCCTGTATCTCCAGAGATATTTTGATTTTGACAGGCCTCTCAAAGATATGCCTACGTGTATCTATATGAAGATGCCCTGGGAGAGCCTTCCAATCTGGGTACAGTATTTGCCACTGCTGATCCAAACCCCTGCCGTTCTGGCTGTTGTCGCTGCTCAGAGTTGTTACAGAAGTGTTACTAATAGTCATAGTCTGGATGACTTCACAGAAAATGTCTTCTTTTATCGTTTTCGGGATGATGGCCACTTACTGTTTGCTATTAGCAAGGCTCAGCTGGAGTCCATATTGAGTACTGAATGAAGAATTTCTTTCTGAAATTTGGCTTCTTGGTCTTCTGCATTTCTGATACTGTGACCTTTTTCATAAAAGGCCAAGGATGGTAAACACACTGCAAGCAAGATGTTGATTAATATCTTACCAACTGACAGCCCCCTTTTTATCACAAGCACTTTTCTTCTCTCTGCTTGAACTCCCTTGACTTGCTTGAACTCTCTGCAGTCCCCCAAATGGCTAAACATCATTGGGTGTTGAAATAGTTTCTAACTATAGCTAACCCAGCTCATCAGGGTATTGTTCTATTTAATTGAAGTTTGTAATACACTTTGAGATCCTCGTATGAAGTGTGAAGTATAATCACAAGCGCAAAATAGAATTGTTTATAATTCATAATATGGTAGCAGCCAGGCCAATGGGGGAAAGTTGAAAGGAAATTCAAAATGTATCCTTTGCCCTTTGAAGTTTGACTGCAACTTGGCACATGCATCAAAGAGGTGACTAGTTTCCTTTAGGGTTTAAGTGTCTGCCGAAAAAGATCAAATCAAAAGCATTCTGAGGTTCCCAATTAGATTTATATTAAAAATCAATAATGAAGACCCTAAAAAGGCATACTGATGACTCTCGAAACACTTGCAAAATAAGTGCGGCTCGTTTAAGGGCAGGCTGTGATAATCCTTGCTTTGATTGGAAGCTTATATCATGAGTAGTCCCATTTAATTCAGTGTAGCTACTTACTGAATCAAGCACTGTGCAGCAGGAAATCGGCCTAGCCTCATCCTTACGATTCCATATGTAGCCCAGAAGGTGGGCTACCTGCCCTGTGTCGGGCTGAGCTGCCACACAGACCTCCATGGGCAGCAGAAGCAATGGTATCAGCAGGTACCCCCGGTACCGTAGAGGTATGGTTCCTGGCCATACCTCGTAACGATACGTGATTCTAAAGGCTGTAAAGATTTCCTGCTATGTTCTTTCACGCTGATTTTTTTTTGCCCTCAGGATGAAATAATTTGTTGATGCAAATACAATAACTGAGGAACCTTAATGGCCTCCTGAGATGGTGGTATAACTTAGGTGCACCTGATAACATGAGAAATTTGCCTCAATGGTACTTAGCCAGGATACAGGTGCACCATGTATTTGATTTACTTCTCATGTTAAAGCGTTATTCTTCTATACTGCAGCTCAATCACTGTGTCTAATCACAGGGTTTAGTACTTTAAATGGTACACTAAGGGCCCAATTCAATTAAAAAATGTCCTGCAGAAATCCTTTTTTTATTGTTTTCCCAGCCTTGTGCGGGCTTCTGCAGAGGAGCTGTGATTTTTTTTTTTTAATAAGATGGGCCTTAGGATTCCTTCTGTTCCAAGGCATCTCCCTCCTTTCTTTTCGGTATGTTTTGTCATATCCTTAGTACATAAAGGGATTCTGTTGTTGTAAAGCTAACATTTACAAAAGTCATCTTTGGCTTCTTCATTAGTTTGAAAATCTTTGGAACACAGTGGATGTCAGCGCTGGTGGACGGTTGAATTACCAGGACTTTTTGAAGAAGTTCAGCTCAGAACTTGTAACGATGCCATCGCACAGTCCCAGTGCAACTAGTTCCGCAACTTCTACCAAGCCAAATACCCGGGCCGTGCAGGATGCACACGTCCTCTCAGCCTGAACGTCCCAAGACATCACCTTCTCTAGTAGGGCAAAAGAGCGTAAGTGTGGTTATTTTATGAATTTTCTGGATTTTCATTTCTGTGCGTAGGCTGAAAGTAATACCTGTGGGACTCATTGAGGGTATTTCTATTGATTGCCCATGAAATCAGGCACAACCATCTGTCAATAAGCAAACGAGGTAATTTGCAGAACTGTGTTACAATGCCAAAAATTGGGCTAGATAGTAACTCCACTAAAGTCAAAGGATATATGTCGATTTATACCAATAACATGCCCTGCTGTTGCTGTACATGTATCGGTCAGAGCTGTACGGCAAATAAAATTTCTGTGTTTAAGCACAATCATGTTTCTGAAAACAAAGAAAACAGTCCAAATTGCAAAGGCCCAATAGCTGCAAAAGCAACATAAAAAAAACATAGACAGCTTATCTGTGGTCATCTGACAAAGCTAGGCTGGATTGGCAGTTGCAGTTTTCCAATGGGTGTTTGCTGGCCTGTCCTAAAACATTCTGGTGGTCTTGCCTGCTTTCTGCTGGATGCCAAATTACAGCTGTTAATGCCTGCTAGTCTAGTTGATAGACTTGCCATGAAGGCCAGTGACCTGAGAGAGGTAAGAGAAGTGGATTAGTTTTGCTTCTTTTTTGCATCTGTACCTATACTTCATGTCAAGACGGCACTTTGGTCCTCTCCACTGCCATGCTGGCCTCTTACCCTAGTGCTAGAATTCACAGAAAGGTGGGCAAATCAGTACAGACAGAAAAACTGAATATCTCCCTTGTGCAGCTGCACCTACCTATTCCATGTTCTTTAGCTACAACCAAACCTACAACAGAAAATAAAATATTTAGAATTACTCAGTGCCTGGAACATGCTTGGATTTTCTGACTACTGATACATGGAGATGTTTAGCTACTGAAAAAGAAATAACAGATTGAGCAAATTAAAGATGCAAACAACTTGTCAGGGCTGGTAAATCTAAACATTGGCCCATTGCTAGCTCAATCATTGCATTAACTATAGGTTCTTTGCTGAAAAGCCCAAAGAAGTAGCTACATGTATCCTTTGTGCTTTGATCCAGTTCCCAGAGAAAGCAACAGAAAATTCCTTGTTACTGTCTGTGAATGCTAGATTGGGCAGTATAAGACAATAGGAAGGGAACTTAAGTCTCCCCAAATTAATGGCTGTTGGAAAGAACCCAGCCAGACTGAACACCGATCAGCTTGAATGTTCCTGCAGCATTCATTCCATGGAAATGTGTGTGAGGCCTCAGCAAGTCTGCACCGGTGAGACCCTCGAGGGAGCACTGCGAAGTGGCACTAAATATGAAATTATACATTGGATCTAGAAACATAAATACCACTTGTGCACGTATCGTACAGTGGCAGGCTGAGGCTTTGCTTCCAGCTCACCCACTGTACTGCTGAGGCGGCAGTCAAAAAGACACCGAGCACCAGGATCCTCTCACGTTACTCCTTCTGTGGCTCTGCCTAGGACCACTGCAGAACCGAGTCCTCCCAGAAACAAATCAAAGCGATGTTATTTCGCAATTCAGCGACTTTGCACTGATTTGTGTTTGGTCTAAGACAGTACTATATAGCTTTTTTTTTTGAACACGGTATTTGTTGTTTAACAAGAAACTGTTTGGAGAAACTATGAAAGTTTTATAGATTAAGCCAAATGAAGAAAAGATGGTCATTAAATGACTAGTGTCATTTTGACATTAAGAGTGTTCTCATTTTTACCTACAGTTTTGCAGACCAAATTCAAATCAGACTTAGAAGTGGCTCAAATGGTACATTAATCTCAAGTCTGGACCACCAGAAACTGGACTTGTCATCTGGTGGTTTTTCTACACAACCAGTAAAACTCAATAGAAAAAAACCCAAACCATTATCTCTTGCTTTTAGATACCAGCATCCAGTCGTCCTCGGACAAAACCAACTTTTTCTGCACCTGCCCTTAACTGCAAAACAATAGAAAATAAGATAAGAAAGAACATCCAGCATTCCTGGAGAGGCATACTGAAAGTGTGCAAAGAGAAGGATGTCAGCAAGCTAGGAGAAATCCCAGTGTCAGACTTCCTAGGTTTGTTACCATCTAAAAAGTGCTTTATTCGTTCTCAGATGCATTCTGTTTTCTTTCTGGTGTCCAGCCACAGGGACATCTGGCCGCTAGTAAGTGGCATCCACTGCATGATTGCTGCAGGTACCACCCTGCTATTGCAGAGCAGAGTAGCCTTGGGTGCAATACATTCACATTCTTATTCAGAACTGAAAAAGGAGGTCGTGGCTTTGCTTGTGTGTACTTACAGTGTACATACATGTTTCTCACCACCTTCCCAATACACTACCCTTTCTGTGCCTGGGGATATTTCAGTAAATAGATTCACCAGTGTTTTCCTCGCGAGCTTGTGCGTGCTTCTGGTTGCACTGGTCTTGACGGATGAACGCTTGCTGACATGAAATTTGGATTTGACTCTTAGAAGAGCTGGGCTATGCTGCTCTTCTGTTGTGTCCACCTCTAGGGAGAGGATTTTCTGAGCCTTTGTTAGGACATTTGCGTGTGTGATAAGACAGCACACACCTGTATAATCAAATGTAAAGTCCTGGCTATAAGAACATGTTACTTTATGAGATCTTTTACTTCAGTTAATGTCAAGGGGTACTTCTGGTGCACTTAAAATCAAAACAACATGTTATCAGTCCCCTGAAAACCTGTAAAATGTGAACTGCAACCCCATAAGTATAGGCATATGCATACCCCTGTATATAGCAAGATCTGTGTAACACACTTATGCAGCAGTTACTGCCACTGGTGGCCTGTCAGTATATCCCTGGTAAAACTCATGGAGACAGGACAACGACTGGCTATTTTTAAGAATGACAAAATGAACATTCTTTCTTTGCATTTCAGATATAGCACAGAAGTTCAGTTTGGATTTAAGTGAAGGGGAAATCAACCAAATAACAAGAAAATACGCTTTCAAGAAAAATGGAAGATTTGCTTACTATGACTTCCTTCAGAGTTGTATCTTGTTGTTAACACCACAGGAAAGCTCGCTGCTACAGAGGGTGATTATACAGAAGCCACAAAAACCAGTAGGTACAAAGCTCATAAAAATTTTTTTACAGTTTCTGCTGTACTGACAGGATATTTCATGGCCTGTTTCTGTAGTGACTTTATGCAGGGACTTTCCTTTCTCTTATTTAATCCCATGATACCAGTTGCCTAATGTCCATTTGGTGTTTCCTTCAGTTGGGGGATTTAACTTCTTGGGATCATACTCTGCATATGCAGGTTATATGGTAAATTGGCCAAATTTGTAAAATTTGAATAATAATCCAAATAGAAAACACAGGAGCTTATGGTTTAAGAGCTTTTGTTGAACTAAATAAAAATCAAGATAGAAAAGTGCATGGGATGTGTCTTAGGATGGCCCCAACTTGTCAGCAAGCTGTGCCTCTGCTCCACAGTCAGCACTGTAAGAAAACCCAGAGGAAGCTGTCACTTGTACTGCTGTTAATATTCACTAAAAACACCTAGTAGCCAGGACTGGTCAGCACTCACCATGCCCTTGCAGCTCTCCCTGCCACATGTACTGGCTCCCCAAGCTGCAGTGAAGAGGCAAAAGAGTCCCAGCAAAACAGCTACACACAGGCTGTTCCCCTCTGCCCACAGTACCGCCTCAGGGCAGAAAAGATCAGAAGAGACGTGGAAATCTGGCTCTCGTGGCCTAGAAAGGAAGGCGTCAGTAATAGCATCCCAATCAAGTCGTATAGTAGGAACAGTGCCAAATTCCGAATCTGCTCATTCAGCGAGCCTGCTACATTTTTAGGCTGTTTCTGACTGTGCCTAATTAGTTTAGATATGGTTAGTAGCAGCATTTTATAGAGAAATTACATTACCAAAGTGTTTTCAGATATAGAACAAACAGATTGCTACCAAGGTACAAAGAGAGTATCATTAGGAATTATCAAGTATTCACTACCAGTAGCGAGAGCAAGGTAAAACTATTAAGTTTTGCATCAAAGAATTTCATTATCTTACATAAGGTTTCCTTTATACACAAACCTGATGCTGTAAAATTCCATCCCAGTATTCTAGAGTGAATGAAGCAGAATTTTTTAAGTGCCTATGTAGTTATCTTAATTTTTATTTTATTTATTCTATTCAGAAAAAATAATGAAGGTCTCAGTCCGTGTTCTGAGCACCTTTATATAAGGTAACATTCACAGTGAAATTTCCTCATAGATTGCTCAGTCCATTCCACCTAATAAGTGTATAGACACACACCAAAAATAATAATTAAAAAAAAAAGGAGCTTTTGTTTTGGTGGCAGGCGCAATTCCTTCTCTTTCTCAAAATCCTGTGAAAATCAATGGCCTAGGGCTTCATGGAAGCATCCAGATTCTGAGCAAAGAAAACAACCCAAGTTGCAGTCACCATAAAGTGCTCTTTGCTGCAGTCACCATAAAGTGCTCTTTGCCTCCCTTCAACCCACAAGGGCACTCAATACTTCGGGTTAGAAACTGCATTACTCATGTACCCGGTCATTCCTCAGCTACATAGTCTGTTGGAGGGATACCCCAAGGGCACAGAAAGATGGTGCAGCTGCCCCCCAGGCCTCTTACAACACATGTCGGTGCAACACAGCCGCTGTGTCCATGCAGCAGATGTAGAAAGTCAACTGTGCATTTCTTTCACCAGTAGATGCTTGTGGAGGCTCCAGGGACATGTGCAACTGGCACCCAATTACAATGATAAATACCAGGAGAGCGTAGGGGGAAGCTGAGATGGAGATGTGTCTTTTTTTTTTTTTAAAAAAAAAAAAAAAGGCAGTAGAGCAGATCCAGAGCCTGCAGGTGGATTTGTGCTCACTGACTCTGGGAAAAGTCCCTTCCTCATCCCTCCAGTATTAAAGCTTTGTACAAGTGGAATTAATTTTGCCTTAATGAATAGTTCTGCAGTTCACATGTGTTCAGGGTACACCAATATAACAAGTGTAGCCAGGTGAAAACAACAGGCCACAACATGTCCCAAGGAAAATTAACCCTATGGTCCTGCTGTGAAACCACTAGAAAGGTTCAAAAACTACTTACAAGGTATTTTATGTACTGGGAAAAGCGTACATTAGGGTTTTGTTTTTTCTTGAATACTGTGCTGCTCTCATAGTTGGTTTATGCATTCAGTCACCTTTAAGGAAAAATTTCACTCTGAAAAATGAACACTGCAGAGAATTAAAAATTACTGAACGAGGAAGTTGAAACAAGGTAAGCATAATCCATGTGAAAATACTGAGATCTGAGCAGAAGTAACACTGATTTCAGAGTCAGTTTCAAATAATAAAAAGTTAGGGCTTTGACAGTGATTAAGCAAATACACCATCTGCACTTCCCAAGAATATCAAAATGTTATAGGTTAAAATAATCTTGTGTAAACAATATCTTGCAGTAATTTGTAAACAAGTATTCAGCAGCCAGTCACAGATTAAGGCAGTATTAGTGCAACATCTTTTCATTCTGCATTATAGCTCTGCCCAGTTGTGATCATGATGCTGTTAGTAAATGCGAGTCTTTCTCACCCAACTTTGCTAGCTGAGTCCTGGACCACAAACCACGTCGTTCTTCAGTGCAATGCTGAGAATTCAGCCCCAGATCCTGCACTGCTGGAGACCAATGAAGCAAACTTTTAAATCCTATGACGAAAGTCATACTGGACTGTTAAACATTGCAGATTTCAGAGAAGTAAGTTGCATTTGGCAAATAACAATCAGAAAATTACAGCTGTCTAATCTATGCTTCCCAACTGAAAATCTTCTGAAAAATGGTGCTGAACTAGAGTGTATAAACTCATCCTGGCTCCTCTCTGTGACTTTAGCTCTGACCATTACTCACGGTAATCTTCCTCCACACATGATCACGCTTCCTTGAGGTCCAAGGTCTTGGTGGTGTCCCAAGAAAAACCTTAGTCCCTATACAAAGTTGAACTGTGTATCTTTCACAAGCACATGGGAAGGGAATAGAAGCGTACCTTCCGATAGATCTCCCTACAGGCGCTGGTACAGCTGCAGGATCCTGCAACCCTCCAGCTGGCGTGGTCCCTTCTAAATGTGGAAAAGTAATCCCCGTTTGAGAGCCTCTGTTTGTGGTTTCTCTCGTTGCCCTTCTGTGTGCAGCATAATTTTGTACTAGGCAAGGGATCCGTATCCTCTGCAAATATTAGGTATCTTGTATCTCCTCAAACAGCAAATATGAACCTATGTGTTCTGGATATCAGTGATTCTTCATCTAGATCTGTGGGGAGTTTGATTTTTGCTTAGCTTCACTGATTTAAAAATCTTTGATGTTGTCTTAACTAGGAATAGTAATCTATTCTGTTCTGGAGTAATTCTGAATGTTTCCTATTCAATTGCAAGAAAAAAAAATAAATAAGAGTGGGACCCTGGACCCATTTAATGCTGCGTGCATTAGGACACCTCTTGGTACCACTACTACTTCAAAAAACGGATCAACTAGCAGACGAGATGCTCAGCCGCAGTAAGCAAATGCTTGGCTGCGATAAGCAGGATAAGGGGTACTTGTGATGCTCCCCTTCCCCTGGAGCTGCAGGAAGCCAGCTTGTTGCCTGGTATATATAAAACTGTCAATTATACAAGTCACATAAATGCTCTTTTAAATCTTGACTTATTTAAGACTGGTGGGAACGTGATATGTTCTGGCACTGCCACATAGCTGAAACCTGAGTCCTTGCCGGCTCTCCTACAAAGGCTGAGGAGCAAGATGTATCGGTGTGGCTGTATCAACTTCGCGCCTGAGGCTTCCTGTCTATCACTGCAGCTTTCTGACTGCCTGGGCACTGCCTCAGCAGACCGGGCTCAGGGGAGGAGGAGTGAAGATCAGGCTCCTTTGCGTTTGATTTTAATTTGTCATGTTCCTCTAGGACATATGATGATTACCATTTATAGTTAGAGCAATGGCAACAACTTTCAAATCAAGCTTCCTAACATGATATAAGCTAAGCAAAAAAAAACTCCAACAAACCCGCAACCAAAAAACTAACTCTCTGTGGATCTGGATCAAGAAGCAATCCCCGATTCCAAAATCCTGCTACAAAGGTGTTAATCTTCTGTTTGACAAGATATCAAGTGATTTGTGGAGGTACAGATCCCTTTATCTCCTAGGTAACTTAATTTACTGATACGGGGAAATTAGCTCTCTAGTAACTTCAGTAATACTGCTATTTATGGCTGTACTGTCTGCAAGGGGTCATTAGCGATTTCTGATGCTGAGCTGTTAAGAGGGAAAGGGGCAGATTAATCTGAGTTTGCCAGAAAACTAATGAAAACTGGCATAGCACACAAGGACACACTACGTTGCTGGTCACTTTCAGGGTTTAACTTTCCAGAAGAAATCCTGAGAAATTAATGCATTCTTTTCTTTCATGTCAGGGCATCAAAGAATATTTAAAAGTGTTGAAGTGCTGAAAAATGCACCAGGTGAAATATTTGAAAGATACAGGCACCTAACCTGGCTCTTAGCACCAGTGAACCAGGTGCATCCTGTTCAAGTTGGGCTCTCACTGAAGCGTTAGGAAGGCGTGCTCACAGGCTGAGCGTTTGTCCCACGGAAACTGAAAGCACTGAGAGCATCGTGGGCATTATTACGTACATAGGGGTTCGCACAGTTTGAGTGACTGAATTATTCCTTCTGTTCCTCTGGATGCAATGGCTGCAGATCACACAAGGAGGATAGAAAGCAAGATATTCCACCTCTTCATTTCATCTCCAGATGGTAGTGAAAGCCTTTTAAACATGTACTTTTTGTAAATTAGCTTCTATGCACGTGGGTGCTACCCATTTCCCAGTGCTCCCTCAGGCAAGTGCTAGTTGGGCTAGTGGACAAAACCCCTGCGTTTTCAGAGACGCATCTCAGGGAGCAGGTATCAGCATGGGAAGAGTCAGAGATAATAAAGGAAAGTTTGCTTTTCTAATATTCTGAGAAACCTAAGCCGGGGAGGAGCTGGACCATCAAGTTATTTTGTAAGGACATTTTATCAAGATAAACTGATGTGTTTACCTCCTGCTCACCCAAAGCACTGGAATAAATTTTAAAGTTGACTCTGTCTTTTGCAGGTTCTTCGTAAGTACAACATCAACCTAACTGAAGAGGAGTTATTCAACATTTTGGAATACTATGATAAACCTTTGTCTTCAAAAATATCCTATAATGATTTTCTCTGGGCATTTGTACAGTAGGATTTGATCAAATGCAGGGAACTGTAGATAAAGACAGTGACTGATTTATAATTTTAAATTTCAAACTAATAAATTAATTGAGTGTGGCTTTTTTTTTTTATCTATTCATTGGAAAACTCAAAATACTTTAAAATTCTGACAGTGGTCCTGTGTTATGGATTAAATCTACATAGTGAGGGAATTTATTTTGCATAATCCATTTATCAAAAAAGAAAAAGACAACAATTAACATTGTCAAAATAATGCTTCCTAAGATGTCTCCAAAAGCAATTCATTTAAGGAAATTCTTTTTTTTAATTTTATGCGTTTTATTAATGGCATAGTCTTAACTTCAGTAAAAAGGTTTACAAGACATACTATTGAATTTCCTCAGTTGTCACTTTCTAAATGTAGTACGTTAGCCTTTGTTATTCAAACAAATGATCCTATTTCTCGGTACATCTTTTTCCTCTACCTGCAGTGCCACATGTGTATTGTCAAACACAACGTTAGTCCAGACCGTTAATCCAGACTGAAATCTGAGCAGATGCCAACTGTGTGTGGACACCACACCTTTCTCTGTTAAAACTGTTCTTCTACACCTTGCAGCACGGTTTAGAAAAGAAACTACTTTTTTTTCTTGGCTTCTTAACTGCAGAGACATATTCCCACTGTTAGCCATGAGGGTTTTTTTTTTAATTATATTATATATATTTATAAAGTAAACAGTAAATTTCAAGTAAACCCTCCAATTTCCCAGTTTTAGAAAAATTCTGTTTGAATATCTTGCAAGATACTTAGATCTTGACAAGGAAATTAAAAGATAATTCTTTGACTGTTGAACTCTTGTGATAATTAAAGGATAACACGAGCACCAGAGCCTGCTTCTTAGGATTATATCAACAATTAAACACTTACCTGCTCTGAAGAATTGTTAGATAAATATTTCACTGTCTGTTTCCTGAATTAGTTTCCATCGGTACACCGAAGAGCCCTGTCCTCATCACTGGAACTGATTTACTGTCTTGCTTTCTCCCAAGTACCATATAAAGACAAGTCAACAAAAACTAATAAAACAAAAAAGAGAGCAAGTTATGGGTGTACAAACACACACGCACAAAACCCATGTATGTATACATATATCAAGACAAGTCTTTGGAATGGGAAAGGGTAGAGGAGCATAATCTTGTTTTTCTTAGTATTTCTAGTGAATGTGTACACCACTGCAACGAATCTGAAAGATTTCCAGTGCAGAACACTAACGTATGGGTTTTTTGAGAAGATGTTTCAGGAGGTATTTTGAAGATTTTGAGTAAAAAGCATTGGGGAGGCTTCAGGTTGGATGTTCTGTATTGCTTCTCTTTTAGCTTCTAAGATTTCTGTAATTTGTACTCTACTATAAAATAAGTACTTTTGGAATCGGATATAATTGAAATAGTAATACTAGAAAAAGCTCGCTGGACTTTTTTCCTAAACTGATGGCTATCTGTAAGTCCCTGAAATTGCTTCTTAGATATTTGATTAACAGAGAAGATTGAAACTACCGTTACTTAAGGATGTTCTCCCGTAGTAAATCAGTGCAAAAATTCCTAGTTCCATTAATAGAAAACAGGAGGTTTTAAGAACACACGTACGTATGTCAGCAAGTGGCTAAAAAGGGCTGGTCCTGGTTCAGTTGCCTGAACGCAGCGGTGAGTGAGTTCTTCCCACCTGGCCACCCCGGCAGGTCCTGTGTTAACACCAGCCAACCCCACAGGGATGTCTCTAGCATCAGAGGGCATCTCAAACTGCAGTAGGTAACTGTGCTTCAGCAACTGAGCTGAGCACAAGAGGCGTTCAGTTTAGCCCTGCTGAAGATCCAAGCAGTCTATTTTTGTTTAGTTTTTAACCTTGTAAGTGGTGTGAAGCCTTAAACTGCTCTGTTCCTTAATGGTGACTGCTTTCCTCCTCCTTAGTCAGGTGCAACATACCTGATTTAATTTTTTATTCCATACAGTTTATGTACTGTATGGTAATTAAAGAATTAATTGCTATTTGGAATGCCTAAGATTATAACACAAATATTACATTAGTTATTTTTAAAGTAGTGGATTTCACTGTACTGATCTAACTAAGGAGAAAAAACTAAACTGTTTAAGCGACTATTGGGTAGTGTTGTTTGGGTTTTTGTTTATTCTTTGTCAAAATCTCATTCCCTCATGTTTCATAATTGAGTCCAATTTTATATCAGATACAATAGGACTTCCATCCCCTGCTGCCTGGCACAGGGCATGACTACTGTGTTTCACAAAGGGACGCAGGAGTCACGTCCCTTGCTCTGCCATTTTCAAGATGCCCAGCATCTTCAGGAGAGGCGATGTGGCAAGGGGATGAATGTGTTTGGGTTTCCTGACACATCGTGCCAGAGGATTTTTCATTAGTTCGACTGGCAGGAGTATCAAATCCGACAACTCCGAAGGGATTAAACAACAATCTTTTCACTGTACAAACAAATCAAATCCTGCTGGTTTTTTTAGTGAGTTCTTAAAGGCAGGGATGGCACTTACCAACTGTTTATCCAACCTCAAAAAAAACAAACCCCGAACTGAATTTCAGCTGCTAGCATTTTGAAATAGCTGAGGTAATTTTTCGTACAAAAATCATAAACTCCTGGATGGATAAACTTTTTAAGAGAAGAGAGGCGGGGGTTTTTGCAGCTGTTTCCCCCGGCCCAGCCACTAGCCAGGAGGGGCTGGCAGAGATCCCCAGTGTTTCCACTGAGGTGGATAATGTCAGTGGGACTGAGCATTATCTCAGGGTAATGGTCTCCGGCTGCTGTATGTAATGACTGTGGCAAAGCTGAGGCAGTTATGAAAACAAAAACACCAGCGCAAAGCTCAGAAATTTCATTTCCAAGTGGAGGACAGCAATCCCGTGTCTGCTCTGGCAGGATCACCCTCGGCTCTGTCGTCCCCTGGGGCAGCAGCACAGGCCGCCGCTTTGGGCGGGAGGCAGGAGCAAAAGCCTCAGAGGGATTTTGGCAGCACAGGTCCCTGCCAGCACTGCCTGCGAGGCAGCATCTGCTGCCACCGAAACACAGCAGAGGGGCACCGGCCTCCTCCCTGCCCCTTGCCGGCCATCAAGCCCCAGGGAGCCATCGCTGGCTGTTCCCTCCAGACAGCCTCTTCTGGGCTGAGTGGAGAAAAGTCCTCAAGCAAGGTCCCTCACCTCTCTCCCCGGGGGACCTAGCCCGGGCATTGGGAAGGGAGGCGTTTGCCCTCGGGCACAGGAGCTGGGGCATGGCCTCCTAGCTACAGCCCAGCCCTCGCACTTGGCTTTGCCTCCAGTGGCCATCAGGCATCTGACTGTGCTACTGAAGCTTAACGCTGTCAGGCGCCCCACGAGGCATGAAGGGATGCCAAGCACACCCCATAATCAGGGGAGGCACCCGCCTTGGGCAGCCTCTCCAGCAAAACCTGAAGAACAGCAGCCAAGGATCTCTGGAGGTTAACTCAGCTGGGGACAACAACCTGCTCCCTGCAAGGGCAGGGCCAGCCCCCTCCGCCTCACTGCTGCTCTGGCCCTGTGACTGCTTGCGTGCTGCTTCTGAGCTGGAGACAAAAGGTTTGCTAAGGCCAAAGGAAAATGAGTCCTTCAGCAGTGATTTAACATCGCTACAAGTTTCATTCCCTGCCCTGCGAGAAAGCTCACACCAACCAAGCATCGTAGGGCTTCCAGACAACTAAAATACAAATATCCCTCACCACACAGAAAGAGAGGTTCATGCAGAAGCAGACTATAGAAGAGATGCCAGTATTTGTCCCTGGATTTTCTTCCTCCCCCATCTTTCCCCTCAGGTTTTTCTCACTTCGAAGCCCCCGTAAATATGAGCGCTTACCAGTAACATGTGCTGCTCATTAGCACATCCTCAAGCCCACCTGAGCTACTTGGCCTCTTCGAATCCCCTGCCCTGAGGCCAGCCTGCTGCTATGGCTAAGAAGCAGGGGCTGGCTTGGGGGAGGGGGCAGCTCCAGGAGAGCCATTTTGGAGCAGGGCAGAAAGGTATTGTACAAAAGCTATTTGCTAGGAGGATGAGGAAGCAGGACAAGGGAAGTGAAAGATGGGAATCAGTCAGAGGAGAGAAGGAGGAAGAGGTTTGTAGACTCTGTATGAGCTATTTCTATCCTAGGGCTTGGCGTGGAGCCCATGAGAGCAGAAATAGTCTCTCTGTGCTCAAAGGATGAAGAAGTAGGGAAGGGCAGGGAGAGGGATGAGGCTAGGCAAAGGGACAGAAGAGAAAGGAAAGAAGGAAGATATTCATATGGGCCATCTTCCACATTGGCAACTGGCATAAAGCCTGCAAGGCCAGAAATAACGTGCACTTTGGAAAAAAAAATATCAAACTTCTTCAGAACCCAGTCATTTGTTTGATTAAGGCATTACTGAGTGAAGTAATGCCTGTGCAATTACTGTTTTTATCTGGATGATATGCAGCAGGTCATGAGCAGTAAGAGATGCTCCAAACATGTGAAAATGAAAATCAGATTTTAAAAAAATCCGTTTTCTAAAAAATAATTTTCTTCTGTTTTTGAATTTTTCTATGCTAAAGGCTGTCATGCAATGGAAAGAGCATTATTATGCTGTGAAAGGAGTCATAAAAAGAATTTTGTATTATATCAATACTTAAAATATGCAAATATGATATCTTCACAACGCCCCAAAATTATGCTTGGCATGAATTCTTAGCAACAATACAAATATCATCATCTTCAAATAAGCAGGTATAACATGCTGCTCAAATAGCTGTAAAAACAACCTCATCACAGCTCTGGGAGCATCCAGATTTCATCTTTGATGTAGGTAGATTTTAAGTAGGAAAGGGAAGAAAGTTGTCTTAAAACATCAGGGTGTATTGAGATGAGCCTTAGTGGAACAACTGCGTATTTAACATGGAAAGGAGAGCTGCTGGCGTGCATTTACAGAGCTGCTGTTATAAAAACCCAGTTCTGGTAGTGTGCGGGTTCAGCTACAGTGGGGGACAG